CCTAGACAGAGCCTTAGGCCCAGAAATATTTCCTACTGTCAGGATAAATCAGTTTGTTTCAGAAGGAGACTTCTGAAGACCAGTATTTTTGTGGGCCTGAAATTATACTATTATTATAGAAATCCAGGACTTGAAAAATCCCCTTGCAAAAATAGTGTTAATGACTAACAATCTAGCCAGAATTTGGGGATCAGGAAAAATGGAATTAATTGAACTGTGTGGATGAAGGAGATTACGTAGCAGTGGAGGGGATGAAAGGGGAATGGAAAAGGCCCCAAAAGCAGCTGCTACTTTACCATTTATTCTCCCAGCCTGGTAATCTGAAGCATGTTAGAGCTACGTGTTCAAATGTTCCCTGCTTTGCCTTTTGTTTTTCCCCTCTCCTGCTTCCTCTGGTACTTTGGCTCTTTCTCAATAGGATTTATAAACCCCTATAGGGAAAAGATATTGAGCTGCATAGATCTAGAGGTTTATTTTTCCAAGAATGACCAAGAACCATCAATCAATGAATATGATGCAATTTCTCAAAGCTCAGTTTATAAGAAGGAAATTTAATAGATAGTTGAAGATAGCCCACTTGAACCCACAGATTCTATGAGTAGATTCATGGAATTCTAAAGAGTTGGTTGCTTGGCAACCGATATAAACAGCTTTGGAACCTAAGAAACCAAGAAAGGTGTAAGACACAGAACCTTGATTCTCTTTGAGGACTGTGCTGTAGGAGGCCATTTTGAAGGTCAGTTCAAAACACTGCTGCTTTGCCAATATCTGAAAGGTGTTCATTAGCATCAGCTGAAAGATGAGGGGCAGCCTGAGGTAGCTGTAGACTTTGGATTAGGTGTCAAAGGGTCAGTATTACTTCAGATACTAACCAGTATTGTGTGATCTTAGTCATGTCCCTGCTCTCGGCCCTGGTTTGAAATCCTTAAGATGAAGATATTAAAACACATTGTTTTTACGGTAGAGTTTCCAGAGTGATCTATTGGAGATAGCTGTATAACTGTGTGAGTGCTGGTGAGAAATGGAAATTAGAAAGTAGACTAAAAAATGAGGGGAACTTTGTGAGGAGGAGGAGGCAGAAAGGAAGATTTGAAACACGCCAGGTTAAGAAGCTTTGTTCCCTGATCCTACTCTCCCCACTAACCAAGCTTCCTTCATACACTCCACTGATACCCTTTGGGGCTGGGGTTTCTGTAAGTTTAATGTGTATGAAAACTCCTGAAAGCTTGTTAAAATACAGATTTCTAGGCCTCATTTGCAGCCTACTGAATCAACATTCTGGGAGTGGGAAACAGGAATGTGCATTTTTGAAATGGGGTCTTGCTTATTCCCCAGGCTGGTCTTTTTTTTTTTTTTTTTTTT